ATTTATGCGAAAAAAATGCAGTCAAGTTTCCTTTTGTGCAATTGCCCACTTCAAAAAGTAGCTCGAAAATATTGAAAAGGAATTCTGCAATTGAAATCTCATTGAAAACGATTTGGATTTTCGAGGGTACGTATGAAATGTACCCTGTCAATTGCTAACAATCTTATGCAGTGTGACTGAGGGTATGACCATGGTCAAAACGTTTATTTTATGACGTTTGCTAGATTTTATTCAATATAGATGCGCCCTTGAAGTAGCAGTATTACAAGCTCTCACCCATGACCTCCGTCGTATTGGTGACGGCATTTAACTTCCCTACTTGCCCAAAAAGTGAGCCTATTGAAAGAAACGTGATAATGTCACTGGCTTAAAGTACATTTTAATTCTAAATAAGCATCTATGTATTTACTTTTTTCATAATTGATAATTTGCATATTTTGCAAGACCAATGGCTCGAATAGGGTATTTGTATCAATTATTGAGAGAGCTAACAAATTATGAAGCGACAAATTTATGTTCAAACTTTGCGATTGTTTTTTGGATAAATTTGAATAAATGCGTCATTTTCTTTCATGCATATTGTACTACACAATATCTGTTTCATAAACTGATGTTTTTCATGAAAATTATAAATTTGAAGGAAAAAATAACTTCAATAAATTCCCATTTTTTTTAAAAAAGATCGAGTATTCAGTAACGCTTGGTGTAAGGATCTCTGCAGCAGTTAATAAATGAGTAGTAAAGAATTACTTTGAATTGATAGTTTGTAAGCTTTCAGATAAATTTTGAAAATCGTTATTTAGTCAGTTTTTCTTGAAAATCTGAATTTCTTTAGCAATGATTTTTCTGCTTGTAATGACTCATTTTGGCTTAAATTCATCTCCTATTAGATATTTATGATTAACACTTTAGAATTAATGTATTAGCACTTCTATAAACTGTAAGTCGTTGCACACTTTCAGGTCATTCATTTTTGTTCTTTGCACAACTTAAAAAGTGCAGTGGATAAGTTCGAGTTCAAGAATGATTGATTTTTTTGAGTTTTTTTAAAATTATCAAAGTTCGAAACTAAAACTGAGTGGATGACGGAAACTTTCCGTATTCATTCTCACTTACGTTTAAAACAGTTGCTAAAATGTGAACGGAATTATTTACCTAAAATTTATACAAAAAAACTTTTGTACAAATTAAAGTTTTTGAAATAAAATTTTGAAAAATAAATGGTAAAATTAACTTTTAGAAAAAATTATTTTATTTTTGTTGTATTCAGTTGCTTCTGAGCAGTGACAGCTGTAGCCGTTTAATCGGACAGTTGTCATTCGTATTCATAAAATATTTTAATTATAATGAATGATAAGTGCGAATAATTTGCGACAAACTTGTTTATCATATCACTATAACCATAACTTCAATAATTAATTTCATCTTTTATTATCATTATTACTGATATTTTGGCTTGCTTCAATCCTTTAGTTTGGCAAAAAACTGCGGGATTGAAGCAAGCCAAGATACGAGTAATAATAATACTACTACTACTTTTAATAACAATATAAATAAAAATATAATTTCGATTAATCAGGTAAATAGTAACAATTACTGTTTTAATTTATCTCTTGTGGTAATGAAATTAAAACATTTACAAGAATATTTGTTTCAACATACGAAATTTTACAATTTAATCACTACTTTGTGATGAATTAGAAAGATTATCAAACAAAAATAATTATTGAAGTAATGAAAATTGTTTTTCAAAAAGCGATAACATTTGCATTTTGCAAAAATTATAGCTTAATCTTATAATTTCAAAAAATTCCAACATCTGCAAGTATTCAAATTTCTGATTCTGCACAACTGTAAATACTTTTATCGTTTCAAATGATACAAGTAACAAAAATTATAATTGTGGAAAAAAGTTATTTTTACCTAAGTACGTGTGAAAGAAAGTAGTAAATATTATAATTCTAAATTATCAGTGCAGTAACAAATCATTACACTTTGATCGATCTATTCTAACCTGAAATAAGAAAACAATATTAGCTAAGTTCTTATTTCGAATTAAAGTATTTAACATTGAATTTTAACACTTTTTGATTTACATAAAATTATAAAAAAAATGGCAAAAATAACTGAACAAATTTGCAGCAAAAGAAGAAAATAAAATTTAAGCTAATTTTTCCAAATATAAAATAAAATCAAATATATTTTATTTTTAAGTTTATCATTCAGTTCTATTTTACTTCATTTGGATCTAAAAATTCTATTTATTTTTTATTCTTTTTTAAGGTAAAATTTTGATCAGAAAGTGAAGCGAAGTCGCTTTTATTCAAACTTGGCACTATTTTATATACTTTTCTCTCGCAAAACAGACAATTCTTAGCAATAATTTCAAGTAAGAATAATTTTTGCAATCATTTGTTGAGATGTTCAGTCTTGATAATATTATGCTTAAAAATCAAATATATAGTAATGGATAAAAGCTTATTATCACTACCATAGAATCGAAGTGGTGAGTAGATAATCGTCTAACTCTCCAAGTAGATTATAAATTTTGCTTTTGTTTTTCGAGAAAATTGAAATCATCTCAATTCACTAATTTAAAATTGTTATACTTAGTATTTATTGATTTGGGTAAATATTATAATAATTTTACTTGCAGTCAACAATTTAAAAATAATAGTCTTAATTACACTTTTTACTATAATTTCATTTAAAAACAATAACGAATAAGTAAATAGGATATATTTTTTTCTCCTATATTTTTTGATCATGAAATGTATTCTCTAGAACTTTTCTAGAGAATACGCGAAGATATGCAAATATTTATTCGAAATGACTGGAAATACTATGCATAATTATAATATCTTAATAAATAATAAAGCTATGTAAGGAATATTTATTATTTATTTTTATGCATTTATCAAATCATATCAATTGAAACTGTTCAAGAATACTAAAATTATGCATTAAATTTATTAGTAATAAAATTAATAATTCTCTGTTAATAATAATATACTGCAAAGCAATAAATGATGTGGAAAAAGAAGATATATATATATTTAATTATAAAATTTGTCCTCAAATGTTTAAACTATACATTCCCTCCATTGACAATCTTGAAAGTAATAATATCCCTTACTAAATGCAACAGTACTTGCTGGTTTGAAAAGTCAGCCAGCAATTTTGATTAACTTTGCGTTTCTCCTTTCTTTTTCAAAATTAAATCTTACTTTGTGCTAAATTTTTACACCTTAGCCAAACTATTGCTAATGAACTCCACCTTCACTAACACCTTCACTTTATAAAAACTTTTAAACTTTGCTATCTAAACTATCTAAGTCTAAACTTTCCCTGTCTAAAGGGAGAAAAAATAAGAAAAGGTTTTCACTTCTTGCTTTTATTTTCTTTTTAATCTAATTTTCTGCTTGCCATTTGTCTCATTCATATCATTTTATACACATTTATTTTATATTTCATTTGTTATTTATTCATTTTTTTTTAAAAATTTAACACATTTTTATTGATTTTTTAAAGTTTCAAATTTTTATGTTATAGTTTTTCAATTTTATATAATTGTTACTCCGAATTTTTTATATAATAGTTTGCCAATTTTATTCTTTCAAATTGCCTGCAATCT